ATTATCCTAGCCAGGTGAAGGCGATTTAATAATATTTTATTGACAATTGCCAAAAAAAATTTAGTTGGCAAGTGTTTTCCAAAAGCGAAGCTCTATTATTTTATATTTATTTGACAGGGATTACGATAATGGAATTTTTATGGGATTTTTTTGAGAAATCACTCGGAAACATTAAATAAATCTTTTTATTTATCAACAGATCAAAAAGAAAAGATCAAAGAAAAATTGTTTATGGATATTATTTCGGATTCTAATCTTAGATTTCTTAAATCTTCTATTGGTTCCTTAAAATTGTTGTGGGAAGAAACAAAAGACTTAAGAAACAAACATGAATTGGGGGGTTGATAAAACAAAGTTCGTTTCTTAAGTCTTTTATTACCGCTTTGAAGTATTTTCTCATTTAATTTAGTATTTCACTATGAGAATTATCATTTTTTTGTAAAAAAAAACAAAAGACTTAAGCAACAAACCTGCAAATGGTTCGTTACACCAACTTGGTGTCTAAGCGATTTTCAAAACCCGAGTAGTATGCTTCCAATTTTATTGATTCTAATTAAAACAGCCTTGTCAAATCACCCAGTCATACACACACACACACGAACATATTTTGTGTTTTTTCAAATCATTACATTGGCTGTCATTTATTTGTTACATTATATTCTGTCATGGCTTTTCAAACCTCTTTTGATTTTCTATTTTGCACCTTTCATTATTTTGCTGACGGCAGCCGCAACCGCAGCAATAGTCTCCGCCAAACAACAACAAGAAATGTGTTATAAATCGTTAACTAATTTATAACACCAATCCAAGAAAAGTTGAAAAGTTGTCGCCCAAAAACCAAACAACAACAAAACTGAAAATGAAATGAAATGGCTTGACAAATAACAAGACAACCATAATTTCTGTAATAGCAAGAAGAAAAAAACCAACAAACCGCTCACAGAATCCGCACATGCAGCGTACGACAGCCACACAAATTAGCTTATGGAAAAGAGCAAACGACCAAATTATCAAGAGTTATGGTGGCAGCTAAAGGCATATATTTTTCTTAATGGCAATATTTTCCGCATTTTTGTTATCACGCTGAGACATTTTGGTTTGTCAACTGAAATCGAAAAATAAAAACAAAAAACCAAGAAATAGCTAATAATAAAAAAAAAGCTTACAAGACTCAACCTGCTTAGTGGCATAATAAGAGATTTGGGCGTGAGTTTTTTTTACGGTAAAGAAAAACAGGCTGGAATTAAGAAATTGCAAAAGAGAAAATATCAGTAGTTCTGTAACAAATTTTCTAATTGGGAATAAGCATCTGATGCTTATTTTATTATTCAAAATGTTGACCCTTTGTGGGGGAGGTACCAGAAGTTGTGGATCCATATCAACCATCTTCATAGCAGATCTTGTGCTTGTAAAAATATTGCGATACCTCAAATTTTAAGAGAATTAGATGCTTATTTCGCATTTTAAGAGATATATAATTATTCTAAATTTTGACCTCTTGTGGGGGAGGTACCAGAAAGAGCGGACTGATATCTACCATTTTCACACCAGATCTTGTGTTAGGAGAAATATTGAAATGTGTGAAATTTGAAAACAATTGGATGCTTATATCGCATTTTATGAGCGTTTTGGTTTTCCAAAATTTTGACCTATTTCTGGGGGAGATACCTGAAGGAGTGAACCGATGTATTCCATCTTCACACCAAATCTTGTGTTAGGAGAAACACTGAGATTTACCGAGTTTGAAAGGAATCGGATGCTCATTTCGCATTTTATGAGCGATTTGGTTTTTCAAAGTTTTTACCCTTTTGTGGGGGAGGTACCAGAAGTAATGGACCCATATCCACCACCTTCACAGCAAATTTTGTGTTACTAGAAATATTGGAATGTGTGAAATTTGAAAAGAATTCGATGCTTATTTCGCCTTTTATGAGAGTCAGAAGTATTGAAAATGTTGACCACCTTGTGGGAGAGGTACCAGAAAGGGTGGTCCGACATACCCGTTTTTCATATCAGATTTTGTGTGGATAAAAATATTGGAATGTGCCGAGTTTGAAGAGATTTGGATGTTTATTTCGCATTTTATGAGAGTCAGAATTATTCAAAATGTTGGGCCCTTTGTGGGGAAGGTATCAGAAGTAGTGGACCCATATCCACCATCTTCACACCAGATCTTGCGCTAGTAGATATTTTGCAATACGCCGAGTTTGAAAGAAATTGGATGATTATTTCCCATTTTATGAGCATTTTCGTTATTCAAAATTTTGAACCATTTGTGGGGTAGGTACAAGAGGGAGTTGTCCGATTTATACCATATTCACACCTGAGCTTGTGTTGATGGAGGTATTGGGATATGTTGAATTTGAAAGGAATCGGTTTTTGATTTCTCGATTTATGAGCTTCATGCTTATTGGAAATGTTGACCCCTTGTGGGGAAGGTATCAGAAGAAGCGGTCAGATATATTCCACCTTCACAACAAATCTTGTATTGATAGAAATATTACGATGTGACGAATTTGAAAGGAATCGAATGCTCATTTCGCATTTTATGAGCACTTTGGTTATAAAAAAGATTGACCCTTTGTTGGTGGGAGGTACCAAAAGGAGTGGTCCGACATTCTTCATACCAGATCTTGTGTTGATAGGCATATTGGGTTGTGCCAATTTCAAGACAATTGGACTCTTATTTCAAATTTTATTAGCCAGACAGACGCACGGAATGACGGACACCCCTAGATCGACTCCAAATGTCCTGAAACAAATTTGGCTCAAAGAGACCTAGGGTCTAAACCCCTTATTTCGATGTGGCACATTTTGGTCGTATCGAATGATATATAACCTCTGTTGCCATATGGCTGATAGTATGAAAAGAGGAGTATTTGAGAGGAGAGTCATTTACAACAAATCTTGAGAGAGGAAATATTTTAATGTTCTCTTTAGATAGTGGACCTTTTAGGTGGTTTTTCGAAGGGAAATATAATTAAATTTGTCTCTTAGAGAAGAAGAGCATTTAAAGGTCTTCTGTTGGCAGGAAATAGGGGGGTCATTAACATGCAAATCATATATTCCGTTTGTAGCCATATGACTGGGAGTATTTGAGAGGAGAGACATTTACAAGAAATATTAAGAGAGAAAACCTTTTTAATGTTCTCTCTAGATGGAGGACCTTTTAGGGGAGTTCTGTAAAGGAAAATACCATTAACTTTGTTCTTCAGAGAAGAAGACCATTTAATTGACTTCAATAGGTAGAAAAAATGAGGAGGCGTTGAGAGTAGAGTAATTAACATGAAAATCAAATGATATGTTTACTCTGTAGCCATATAACTGAGTGTATAAATATGGGAGTGTTTGAGAGGAGAGACATTTACAAGAAATCTTAAGAGAGAAATCCCTTAAATGTACTCTATAGATAGTGGACCTTTTTGGTGGCTCTCTAAGCATCATACCTTTAAAATTATTGTTCAGAAGAAGATCCTTTAAATATCTTTTATCTGCAGAAAAGGTGGGGGTGGCTTTGAAAGTAGAGACATGTAAATAAAATGATATATTCCCTCTGTAGCCGTATGGCTGTATGGCTGACTGTATAAAAATGGGAGTATTTGAGGGGAGAGAAATCCCTTTAATGTACTCTATAGATTGCGGGCCTTTAAGGGGTTTCCTCTAAAGATAATACCTTGAAAATTGTTCTTCAGAGAAGAAGACCATTGCCTTCAATAGGAAGAAAAGTGGGAGAGGGGCCTTTGAGAGTAGAGTGATTATCATATAAATCAAATGATATATTCCCTCTGTAGTCAGATGGCTGAGAGTATAAAAATGGAAGCATTTTAGAGGAGAGACATTTACAAGAAATCTTTAGAGAGAAATCCCTTCAATGTTCTCTATAAATAGTGAATATTTTAATTGGGATTCTGTGAGGAACAAACCTTCAAAATTGTTTTTCAATAACATACAAACTAATGAGAGAGAGAGAGCCTCATAATTTTCTCTATAAAAGTCTCCTGAGAAAATACCTTTAAAATGTTTCTACAGAAGACCATTTTAATGACTTCAATAGGCAGAATATTTATTATAATTATTATTATTATTATTATTTTTTTTATTTTATTATTTTTTTTAATATATATAAAAAACCAAATTTTAAACCCCAATCCATTTATCACGCATAAATATGTTTCTCTCTTCATACGTATAATTAACAACTTTTAGGAAATACGCTTCCGTTTCTTCCCATGCCAATCATCTGCAACTCGAAAACAATATCTTCCTCTTTCATTAAAAAAATGATATTAAATATTAAAAAATTCATAAAGAGCAACAAAACAAAAGAAGAAATGAAATGAAATGGAAGGCAAAGCAAAATATGCTCAGTCATATTTAATTCATGAAATGATGCAATACAATTTAGACATCATGAATTGCAAAAAAAATGTGTAGCATGCAAGGCAGCCAATTAGCAATTCACATAATTTTAAATGTAAAAATTAAAGAAATATATGAAAAAAATCATAATATTTATGTAAAAATATATATGAACTAAATAACCTTTTGCTGGAGCTGTTGGTTAATTGTAATAAATAATTAAATTGAATATAAATGGTTTATGATGCTGAAATTGGTTTCGCATAGACTTCAATCCGATTTTTTAATATATGCTGACTTTAATTGAGTTCTTTTTAACAATAATTCTGACCTCACAGTATTCTATTTTTTTAATAAAAATGAGTTTAGTCTTTTTATTGAGTTTCTCAAATTAAATTCTGACTTCATTCACAATTCTATCTTTGAAACTCTCATGCAAAATAATCTCCAACCCCCCATTTAAATCTCTAGCCATGCACTCCAGTCACCTGCTGCTCCTTTCTGGTGTCACCTAAAGTCAACAAACTTCGTGACAATTTTTATAACATTTTTTTTATAACTTTATCTATGTTAATTCTTAATTAATTTTAATAGTCACATTTATTCACAGTTTTTAATTAATGTATTTTTTTATTTTACAGGAGGGTAGCATCGGCCATGATATGGTAATAAAACCATTGCCTCATGAACTGAGTCCACAACCGGAAGAATCACATCATGTCATTTATAAACGCAGTGTCGAACAAATGGAACATTTAAGTGATTTTGGTAAGTTTACTAAAAGGCTGCTTAGGATAAAAAAATCTTAGGAAAAAAATTCAAAATAAAGTTAATCGATAATGAGGGGATTAAAATAAGAAACAGAGATTGTTCGAATAGCCGTTACCTGAATCTGAGGTCTGCAGATTATCTTAAATGACATATTTATCATCTACAGAAGACCTCATCGAAAGACTCTTTAAAACATTAGTGGTGTAGTGGATATTAGATAAATTCCATGGCTATTGAAACATTTCTCAGTCATTTGCAGATTAAACTTAATCAAATCTAAAAGTTCGGCAACTTTTACCTTCTAAATTGCAGGACAAGTTATCAGTCGCCGCAGCAATGTCCTTAAAATCAAACTGGAGTAGGCTTTATATTTATATTAAAACTCCGGTGCTTCTGAGATACTACTTCTTCCTGAGAATATAATTTTATATCAAGTAATAGCACCCAGGAATCTTCTCCACCTTTCCATTCGGTCTCTTTTAAAGGTCCCATCTCCTTTGCAGTCGGCTTTAATTTCCTGCCCGAATTCTCTTCATATGCCGTCAATTTATATCGGTAGCCAATGATGTGATATTTCTCCGGCAGCGCCATATTGCAGACCTTGGAAAGCTTACTTTTCCAGCATTGCAAGGGGGTCATAATTTCCTGTCACTTCAGCCTGCCTTTTACAAGCTGCAACACTTTCACTAGGCATCTTCATATTCCTTGAGCATCTTATAACTCCAACGTCGTAGATGGCCATCATTTTTCATCTTCATCTCTTTAGTGTATAGTTCTTCTAGGACTTCGGACCCTTTTTGTTACGACATGAGCACGACATTTTGCCACTTCGATTCTTGATTGATAGTAGTTCTTTCAAATATTTAGGACTTGATTCTGTTTCTTTTCCAAGTACTTCAACTTCAGTGAAAAGGGCCTTCTCCTCCAATTATATCGCCTTTGCTGTCATTTTCTGCTATTTTCTGCAACCAATGGTATTATATTTTTCTTGCAGCGCCAAATTACAGGCCTTGGACAGTTTATCTTCCCAGCGTTGCAAGGGCTCATAATTTTCTGTCACTCCAGCCCTCCTTTGTCCAGCTGCAACACTTCTGATTGGCATCATCATCTTCCTGACAACTTGTAGTGCTTCCTTGAGCATCATATTATTCCAGGATGGCTATCTACATACAGCTCATTCTTGACCTCTGTAGTAGGGTCGACATCTAGCTTTCTTTTCCACTTCGATTCTTTAATGTTTGAGAACAAGTCTTCAGGAATTGATTCTGTTTCTTCCCCAAGTACTTCAATTTTAATAATGGGGTCTTCTATTCCAACTCCTTCGCTTGAATTTCCTGAAATTTTAGCAGAGAACTCATCACGACCTATTTCTTCTCTGGCTTCGAGTTTTGCAGCCAATTCGTCACATTCGGTTTCAGCTTCAAGTCGTGTTCCCTTTGAGCTAGACAAATCATTATTAAGTTGTCTCCTGGTTAGCCGCTTGTAATTCGTCCTTAAATTCCTCAGCCTCGCTATTGCATTCGGCTGACTTTCTCTGATAGCTAAACTGTCACGTTCGGTTTTAGCTGATAGTCGTACTCTCTTTAAGCGAGACAAAACATCAGTAAATTGTCTTACAACTGCCTTCAAGGCCTTGCCCTGGCGTCCTGCCTCCTGGTTAACCGCTAGAAATTCGTCCTGAGTTTCCTCTGCTATTCTTTAAATTCGCAAGAAGTTTGAAGGCATCTTCCTTTCCATTTTTGTGTGATATCACCTTTCATTTTTCTCATGTGCGCTAAGGCCTCTTCGCGCTTCATCCGCTCGTTATCAAATTCGGATGTTACGGCGACCACTTGTTTCTTTAAGCCACGGACTTCCTTTTTTATCTCTACATTTTGAGCCCACATGACTTCAAGGACTACTTTAACATTAACTTTGTTTGATAGCCAAGCCGTCACGTTCGGTTTCAGCTGCAAGTCGTGCTCTCTCTCTGAGCTAGACAAATCGTCAATAAGCTGTTTTGCCTCCTGGTTAACCGCTAGTAATTCGTCATGGGTCTCCTCTGATATTCTTGACTTTCTCCTTTAAATTCGTGACAAGTTTGAAGACGTCTTCCTTAATATCTTGCGACCTTAATATCTTGCGAGTGCTACATTCGGAAGACTTTATCTGATAGCCAACCCCATCACGTTCGGTTTAAGCAACAAGTCGTACTCTCTTTGAGCCACACAAATCATCAATCATCTTTACTACTGCCTTGAAAACCTTGCCCTCGTGTTCCTCCTCCTGATTAGCCGCTAGCAATTCTTAAGATCACTCATCCGGCTCGAAGGACCAATTCTAAACTGGGACGCTAACTATGTTAAACTGGGACCCATAACTAACTTAATCTTTTCAATTTCTATTGACTCGAAGGTCTGCTCACCACATTTTCTTATCTCATTTAAGGTGAAGTGTATTAAAAAGATCACTGTTTAGATTATTAAAATTATGATTATTGCTGTTATAGCCCACAATAATTACTTCAATATTCTCTAGAGTCCCATTGTTAAACTCAAATATAAAAAAATTAATACCCCTTTAAAAATATTGTAAAGTTTCCCAACTTTTTCACAAATTCCAGTGTTTAGGATTAAAGCGCACTCTATTTAAAAAAGGTTCCCACAAAAAAATATTGATCTTTTTGACAGTTAAAATAAATAATTTCGGTCTTCCCCACACCACTACACAATGAGTCTTGCAATTTTGCCATGTAATCCAAGAAATTATTAAACAATTAATGTAATTAATATGTTTCACAAAAAGTCGGTAGCACCTAATTAATAATGCATTTTCATGCATTAAACTGTACAATTTGGGCAACGGAACTTCATAAAATTTATAAAATATGAAGTTCAAAAAAACACAACAACAACAGACAAGCCTTCCTGTCAAGAAAACAAACACACACACTCACAAAATGTTTCGAAATTGTAAATTCACTCTGGTCTCAAGCAAAGCTTTATTGAATTACTCTAAAGCTAAAGCACTAGCAGAAGAAGAAGATGAAGAACCCCAACAATACATTGTTTTCTTCTTAAAGGAGATTGACCCCACACCGCCTTTCAATGCGAAGGTTATGACGTCTCCGGTTTTTTAATTTAAGTTTTACAATAAAATTTTATTTTAAACCGAAAATTTATGTTAAAAGTGGTCTTAAGAGTACTTTTGGGCGTCGTCTGTTTTTATTTCGTTTTTTTTTTTTTTGTTTATTTGCGGATAGTGGAATTTTTATTAGGTTTTTGGCCGGCTGGCTAAATGACTTGATCAGACAGTAAAGTTTATGCGAAATCTAGAAAATAATTTACATTACTTGCGCAATCCGTTAACAGAAAGCAGGGTTATGGGAGTGGTGGAAGGAAGGTAGCGGTGAGTCTCAAATTATTGCTGTTGATTGTCAAAAACAAAAACAGAATATTGTGTAGTCACGTAAATTTAGAATTGGTTTCGGATGATGTATCTTTTTTTCAGATTAGTATAGAAACTTGTTTGTTACATTTCAGGGAAGATTTATGTTCGATTTGTGTGTTGAAAAAATTATGCGACCTTAGAATAAGTTATTAAGTTCACGGATATGTAAATATGTTTCTATAAAGATAATAGAATGCCTGCCTAGTGCAGAAGAGAGAGATTTTTGTTAAACAGAAATACTTTTAACCGTAAAGTATTTAAGTAGGTAAGTTTAAGTAAAAAAGTAAGTAAGTTCGGCCAGGCCAAACTTTTTATACGCTCCACCATTTGGAAGAAACTTGAAAAATCTCAAAAAAAATTCAGTCGAAAAATATCGTTCAAATCAAAACCATTATATTTGGGGGCTATACGAAGACGTGGGCTGTAATACCCATTACGAATTCGAAATACGAAATTTGAAACAACTCCGGTGAATAATGTCCCTAAAATCATCAAAATATCGAATAGCGGGAGGCGCCGTTTTATGGGGCTATACGATATCAAGGAACTCTATAGATAATTCTCTTTCAGGTGGTAAAGTACTCTAAGCGAACCATTGAAAAATGTGGCTCAAATTATCAAAATACCGAATATCGGGTGCACCATTGTATGGGGACTATACGATATCGTGAACCTATATAGACAATTCTCTTTCAGGGGGTTAAATCACTCACATAGAACTTCTTGTGTAGAATTTCAGACAATCCCATTAAAAAATGTGGCTAAAATCACGAAAATACCGAATATCGGGGACTACTGTTGTATGAGGGCTATACAATATCGTACACCTATGTCGACAATTTTCTTCCAGAGGGAACTCCTTGTTTGGATTTTCAGTCTATTCCATTAAAAAATGTGGATAAATTCATCAAAATACCGAATATAGGGGGATACCGTTATATGGGAGATATACGATATTGTCGACCTATATAGGCAATTATGTTACAGGCGGTAAAGTAGTCAGAGAACTCCCTGTGTAGAATTTCAGACAATTCCATTGAAAAAATACCGAATGCCTGCAGGTACAGTTATATGGGTGATATACTATATCATAGACCTATATGGACAATTCGCCTCCAGGTGGTAAAGTACTCACAGAGAAATCCTTGTGTAGGATTTCAGACAATTCCATTAAAAAATGTGGCTAAAATCATCAAAATACCGAATATCGGGAGGTACATTTATATGAGGGCTATACGATATTGTGGACCTATATACAGGGTGAGATAAAAAAACCATAATAATAAACCATAATTGTTACATTTTTTTTTAAATTTTATTGAATGAAAGCAAAAAATTTCGGAAAAAGGATAAAATTTTAAAATAGATTTAGATTTGGTCAACACACTGCCCGAATATTGCTCTGCGGTATTTGACCCATTCCCGGTGAAGCGTTTGCTTGAGGTGATCGACACTTTGGTATTTTTTAGTGTCAAACTTGCTTTCCAAAACACACCATACACAATAGTCCTACGGATTGGTATCCGGAGACTTCGGTGGTCATTTTGCGCTGGAAATGAAGCGAGGAAACTCATTTTGTAACCATTCTTGGGTGGCGCGTGCTGAGTCCTGTTGGAATGTCCAAGCTCTGCGCCCAAAATGTTTGCGTGCCCAAGGCTTTAATACACCCTCCAGAATATTTTCGCGATAATATTCGGCATTTATTCTTATGCCACGGTCGATTAATACGAGCGGAGAGCGACCATCGGCTGTTTTGGCGATCCACACCATCACCATGGCCGGCGATTGAGTTCAGGTGGCCAACCGAAGGTGAACATTTTCAGCTGACCTCTTTTTTTTTTTTTGTTTACAAACTGCTGGACACTAATGTTTTCTCATCGGAAAAAACCAAATTCGGCAATTCATCACTTTCAGTCAAGCGAAGCAACCCTTTCGCTCTTTTGAGTCTATTTTCTTTCTGTTGCGGTGTAAGTTCATTCACTTTTTGGAATTTCAATGGCTTTACCCTGAGCTCATTTTTCAATATTTGCCGAATGGAATATTGTGATGTGTTCAGCTCACGAGGCATTTTTCGGCCACTGCGACGCGGGTTTCGATCAAGTCGCTTCTTTACTTTTTCAAACATTTCTGCTGATGTTGCTGTTTTCTTCTGTCCACTTCCTTGACGTCGGGCTACGCTATCTAGTACCACGGTAACGAGTGATGGTACGAGACACAAGAGATTTATTCACATTTAAATCCTGGAGTACTCTAACGATAGCCACTTGTGGTATTCCAGCCAAATATACAGAAATCACACTATCACGCTTGAATTCCATCACGAATAACTTTTTTCTGGAAAATTCTCATCAAAATGCTTTTGTACGCTTGTTGTAAACGAGAATAGAGTCCAATCTCCCTTTTCGATTCCGTTTCGGTGATGAGAAAAGAATACAACCGCTTCGCTTGGGTGTAGATTCAATTCTGATTTTATTTAAAAATATGTTTCTTAAGTACTACTCAAATTAATCTAACTTAACCTAATCGCAGCGACATAATTATTCATATCTAATATTGAATGGAGAACATTGCAGGGCTGTTTGTCATTTTATTCAAGTGGTCTTGTGCATCTACTGATCCCATCAATATTTGTGCGTGTTGATCATAACCTTTATTATCTTTATCGTATGTGTCAGCGCACAAGATCACCGAATTATTCGCAGGTGGTATTTTATGGCGGCTGGGAAATATGTAATTTTTGTGTTGTAATGACGAACTTATTATACCCTCCATACTATGTATGGTGGAGGATATAAAAAAACACAAATCCTTAAAAAATATTACCACAGATTCCAATATAGCTAACACTTATATTGTTTGTGTCCTCTTTGTGGTTGATCGTCCTACTTATTTTTGTCATATCCTCAAGCTTCCTATTGTGTATCTGTCTAATCTAATTTGTTATCATCATTGCGTTCCTCCTTAAAAATTATATCAGTCCTACAAAATTTTTTTTTTAATTTTTCCTAATTTTTTCTTCATTATTTCTTTATAGCCTACATGGAGCCGGATGATATGGGAACTCACGAAAAATTGGAAAAACTGCAAGAGCGACAAAAACGTGCAGCACATTTTAATACACTGGCCGACATTGAGGAAGAGCAAGAGGAGCTTGAGGCCGAAGATGGTGTCAATTTCGTTGAACACTCCACTCACAAAAGAGCCAAACGCAGTGCACCCTACATGATTTATCCCGAAGTTTTGGTTATTGTTGACTACGATGGTTATCGTTTGCATGGTGGTGATAATTTACAGGTACGGGTTGGGATTTATTAATTATCTTACTATTTTTTATGTGGGGGGTGGGGAAGTTTTTTGATGTTGTGTGTACAGAAGACCCACCCAGGCATACAAGCAACTTATATTTTCTAAAAGATTTTTTATTTATTTCTCTCATGCTTGCATATGTTCTTGTCAAGAACAACACCATGCAATTTTTATTTCCTATTAAATATCTTAGATCAGGCTAGAACATTTTGTGAATATTAAACTCCATTGATATTTATCTTTTATCTCAAAGGATATAAATTAAGAGCTTTTTTGCAATGAGTGGGGAAGGTTTGGGTTTCACCTATATATACACGTTTAAGATATGCCGCTTATGATGCTAAAAAAATTCTAGATGCCTCATTATTGATAATTTATTTCTTTAAATTCATTATTTTTTTAGGTGAAACGTTATTTCATTGCCTTCTGGAATGGTGTTGATCTGAGATATCGTCTGCTGAAAGAACCAAAAATTCGTGTTAGCATTGCTGGCATTATTATTTCAAGGGTAAGTACAATCAAACGGCAAGTAAAAAAAAAAACTACTCAGAAATAGTGAAGAACATAAATCTTCCACTTGAAGGAAACTTTTTTAAGGCCGAAATCAAAAAACAAACTTAAAACGCAAAATATGATATCTCAAAGAACATAAATCAAAAGACTTATATCACATTGCTTGTGACCGAATTTCTGGAGGCCTGTTATGGAAACTGTACATTTTTATTAAATTTTAAAGAAGAGTAATACGATCATTATATCCGAACATATTTTGTTACAATGCAAACTTGAAACCTAAAATAAACTCTTTTGAAACTGTCTAATTATGTTTCTGTATCGTTGTGTCCGGTGTGGACAACTCTAGAGAAAAGTTAAATTTTTGTGACATATAATACAGGCTCTCGATCGTGGTTCTGTATTGGCATATAAGAGTTGGCGGTTTCTATAGTTCAGCCTAGAGATATTGGTTTGTAAAATCCGAAGTTCCTGAATCAATCCAATATGTACCTTAGTTTTAATTATTTTGTCCATTAGAGTGTTCGTTGTCATCTCGCTCCTATGGAGATTGATCTACATGAAAAAGAACATTATCCTACAATAAACGGGCCTTTTGAGAGTCCCTGAACTTTGCTGCGGCCTTCTCCTATTTGTTACTTTGGGAATCGCATTTCGACTTGTTTGGGGCTGTTCGCGATCCTTGCTTTCTTCAATTTAAAGAAGACAGCCTTCGAGACGTTGAAAGCGTCATGTCCTTTGTCTTACTTAGACTGGACATTGAGAGGTCGTTTAGAGTTATGGGATCAATGCCTTGCCGGAGTTGTTTCCATATCTTCTTCCTGATCTGGTCTTCTGCAGTTTTAAGGAGATCTCAATTCAGTTTGTTGGACCCACAAACGCTTGTCGATTACTGTATAACATAGCTCGTCGCTAAAGTATTTCCTTACAAATTTAGACAAAGATGGCGACTCCATTCCATGATCCATGTCCCTCTTCCACGTCTGCTTTAACAGGGTCTCTTTTACAGGGGTTACAGGTTTCGAGTCCGAGTCTACCACCACGTTCGCTTTGTCTTGCTGTGGCTTCATTTGTCATTCAATCTATTCTCGCAATTCATTAGTTTTATTGGAATCAATATCTTCTGGTTGTCCTGGTTTTCTATAGTTTTCAGCCGATCTTAATGCAGTTTGTCGGACCCACAACTGGTTGTATATTACTGTATAATACGGGTCGTTCCTATAGTACTTTTTGCAAACTTTAGAAAAAGTATGGCGGATCCATTCCTTATTTCATAATCCTTTTCCTTTCTGCTTTACTGAGTCTCCTTTGCAAAGACTACAGGTTTCGCGTCCGAGTCTGCCGTCAAGCTCGGCTTTCCCTTGCTGTTGCTTCTTTTGTCATTTCCTGTCTTTGCTTGCTTATAGTAACCATTTACAGCTACCTGGCAGCACACTGCTACTCCAGGGATATGATCCTCTTTCCTGCTTCCGAAATAATGCAAGAAGGTCTCTGTACCTCTGTGTCCTTCTGATTATCTTGAATTTACGGCTTTGCACCACGTGTAATCTCTTTTTGTACGTGGTGAGCTTGGCTCCAACAACGGTTTTGTTTACACCAGATTCCGATTCCGAGTCAGAGTAGCTACCTGCCTCTTTATGCTGGCCCAACCTCAAGCTTCCCTGGAGCACCTCCTTTTCATAATATCTATATTTGCCCGAAGACTGGGTGCTCAGATGGTCTTGTCTTGCTATGCTGAGAAGTGGAATTTTTCTGGACAGGTTGCTAATTTTACGCGTTTCTCGATTTGAGAGCATTGGCAAAAAGCGATTATAATTTTCTACCATTTTTGTATAAAAAGGTGTTTACGAAGGCGAGAAAAAAAGACAACTGAATGGTTTGGTTGTAGATTCAATTCTCAAAACGACTCGAAGGATGAAATGTAAATGAGAAGAGAAAGACAATGTTCTGGCTGTTGATTCAATTCGCTATCCGGCTCGAAGGACCAGTGTTTATTTGTGAAGGAAATAACAACCTTTACGCTCGGATGTAGTTTCGATTCAGATTTTTATTTTAAGATATTTTTCTTAAGTGCTACAAAAACCAATCTAACTTAACCTAATCGTAGCCACACTATTATTCTTATCTTAAAAGGAAACATTACATGGCTGGCTGTCCCTACCTACTGGTGCATCGATATCTGTGTATGTGGGTTATGACCTTTTTTATCCCTGAATATCACAGAGATAATATCACTGAGTTATACATGTGATATTTATGTTATGTTAAATGTTAAATTCAATAACCGGGAATACCGGGAATAACCAGGCGAGGCGAAACACAACCGCAGGTTCAATTGTTGACTCGATTCTGACTTTATTTAAAAATATTTTTCTTCAGCACTACAGGAACTAATATAACTTAACCTAATCGCAATCACACAATTATTCTAATCAATTGTAATATTGAATGGAGAACATTTTAGGGCTGTTTGACCCTTCTTGGTCTTGGCACAAAATCAGTGAATTGTGCACATGTGGTATTTTATGACGACAGAGAACTATATAATTTTAGAATACTTATTTTTAATTGCTAGATTTTCCCACCTCCTCAACCGCAGTAAAAAATATATACAAAGTATTTTGTACAGTAGGGTTTATTGCGTGTTACTCCAGCCACTGCCACTTAACTTAATTTCTCTTCCCATAGTGTTCTCCATTATTAGTTTTAAGTAATATTTAATATTAAGTAATATTTAAGACTTTAGTTAGAAAGTATGTGGCGCCCAATCACTGGGTCTTCTGTGTATAGAAGACTTCCACAGATTTTCCAAGTATAGGTGACTTGTTTGGCTAGAAAATCTCCAATATATGTATATACATATATATGCATAACTCCCATCCACTTAGTTATGTTGTCACATTACGAAGTGCGAATAAAATCATTACGGCAATAATTATCATTTGTTTTCTAATTCTTGTAATTGTCATGTGGAGCAATGCGCCCGGTCTTTGGTTCGAAGATTGATGGCTTAGGAATTTATCATGAAAAATTGCATAAATCGAAACGGGTTGTAATTAAAACTAAACAAAAAATGCAAATACCCACACATACCTCCATGCATATATACATAACTACATAAATGTATGTACACCCAATAATTGAACATAGATCAAGTTGCTCCATTAACATATTTAATTAATTTCTATTTTTGCATACAAATTGTCAATAAAACGCAACAAACACACGGCTGGGTGCCAGGAATCACAACCTGCTGGGAGATAATTACAGGAAGCCATATTAAATACAAATAATTTGAGAGAGAGACACAACAGCTGTCACCTGTCAATATCCTAGAAATGATATTAATTTCGAATGCATTTGCATGTAATTCGCCCGAATCGCACAATTAATTAATTGAATTCTTGGGAAATATTATGAAACTCAAGCATAACTCCCCCGAATAAAAAACATACACCACAACAAGAGATTATGTATTTGACCCACTAACATTTGAAAATCAAAATTCGAGCAGTTTTTTTGTTAAGAGGTTTCCATCCATTCATTCATTCTTTTTTTTTTTTTTTTTTTTTTTTGTGGAAAACACACCTTCCTGTCCATGCACATTATACACTTTAGCACGTTGGTTATGACCGGTTTCCTTTCTAAACACTTCACCATCGTCTCCATATCTATACATGTATATATGTATGTTATGCCAATATTTATTTTCCGCCATAAAAGTGGTGGCAAAGGGAGCTCTTTATTAACACCAAATCAAGCAAGAAGACGAGGAAAATCCAACCAACTAACATGCTTTGATTTAGTTTGATTGTCAGAAGAAAAAAACGAAAACATTGGCATGGATCATTGCCGAAAACATTAAATGTTGAAAAATTGCCAACTTCCTTAAGGTGTTGCCGGTTTAGAAGTTGTAGAACCATTACGTGCAAAAAAATAAGCTATAATGTCCACAGATTTCCGATAACAAAATTTAAAATACAATTTAATTAAAAGCGAAATGTGTTTTAGGTTTTCGCACAACATTTATAATCAACATGTTTAGATTGGCTGTTCTTTTACGTTTTTTTTTTCTTTTTTTAAATTTGCGCTCAATTCTTTGGCTGTCACTTTGAAACGCACTTTAATTCGGGCAAAGATTGAGATTAGAGAGAGAGAGACATACAATAGAGCTCTACAATGGGCAACGAAGAATGTTGGAATTGATGTTTGGAATAATAAATTTTTAATATAATGTTCAAACTGCCTTAATTACATTCTGTAAAAGCGAGAAAAGAAATACAACCGCTTCATTTGGGTGTAGAATCAATTCCCTATCCGGCTCGAAGGACCAAATGTTATAAGATGAGAAAAGAACACGACCGCTTCGTTTGGGCGTAGGCTCAATTCTCTATCCGTCTTGAAGGTCCAATTGAAAGGCGTGGAAAGAAACACAATCGCTTCGTTTGGGTGTACAATCAATTCCCTGTCCGACTCGAAGGACCAATGTTTAAAAAATAAGAACCCAGCCTCGCTCTTAAATTGTCAATTCATTTCTAGTTTTTATTTAAAAATATGTTCCTTAAGTGCTACAAAAACTAATCTAATTTAACCTAATCGTAGTCACTCAATTATTCTTATCTATACTAATATTGAATGGAGAACATAGCAGGGTTACTTGTTATTTTATTCAAGTGGTCTTTTATATTTACTGAGGACATCGATATCTGAGAGTATGGTCAAAACCTTTATAATCTCACACATGATCGTATGGTTAGATCGTACAAATGTGATATTTTATGGCGGCTGAGAAAAATGTGATTTTAGAATAGATTTTCCCACGACAGGATATATTTTGAATCCGATGCGGAATATGTACATGCTAACGGAAAATATCAATGGGTTTTTACATTGGTAGTGCCTTACACTCCAAAGTCGCAACTATTCCGCAAAGACGTTGTTTTCATTTCACAGTCGAAGGAAACCATATCTCCATAAAGAATAGGGATACGTAAG